GCAGTACGGTTTATAGATCTATAAGTATAACCCAAACTTCTCTTTCTCCCGGTCACCCATGTTTGTCTAAGTGTTCTTTGTGGGTGATTGTTTGTCTATATTGGGGACACACTTTGGTAAGTTAGTAGTGTCCCCACTCTGAGTCAGCAGTATGGGAAATGTGAGTTCAGGTCGTGAGTGACCAATATATGTACATGTATATGTGTGTGTATGTATATATGTATATGTGTATATATAAGATAGCAGTAATTTTAAACAAATGGAGGTTTTAAAAAAAATACTTAGGGATTAAGGAGAGAATGCAGGTAACTTGTTTTTCTTTGGTTTTTACCATATATTGGGGCTGATGTGTACTGTAGTCCTTGCTGCTGCCCAGTGGTGATGGGAGTGAGCGCAGGACTTATCTTTCTGCAAGATAGCAGTACTGTATATTAGAAAAGAAATGACTCACAGGTTGTACCTGATAGACCTACTTAAATCTTTTTACTTTATTCTTTCTGTCGCATAGAAGTATAAGTTTATTACTCTGTTTTATTGTAAGTTATTTCACATGGGATCTATGTGCCTGGTATGATTGTTGCTTTAAAAATACCATAAGCCCACTACACTTATTATGAGAGTGGGATAGTGTAAATGAGTTACATTGTTTGCATGATGAGCTCAGTATATTTTATACTGAGACAAAAAGGAAGCACTTCATTAGTATTTGAAAGTTAATTCCCCATATGGGATTAATTGTATAGAAACACCAATCAGCACATCTTCCCTGCCCTGTGTGTTTGTTGCAAAGGATCCATACTAAATATGATTTATGTTTGAAAATAACAGAGCAACATTTACATTTTCAGCGGTCCAACACATGCTTTATTTTGCACTGTAAACTAACCTTTTTATTGCAACAGATTCCTTTTAAATGATCCAGTGTAATAACTACTGCTTGTGTCTTCTATGTCTCACATTATGTGTTATTTTAAATTGTGGTATATAGCCTGAATCAGACATCATGGACAAAGGTTTTTACCTGTGTTACTAAGGGCTCTTGGAGACTGACCGGTCTAAAGGTTTGCCATGCCTTTAAAACATGGTATAGAATAAATTTTTTAAGTCTCTGAGAGTTCTGAAAGATTCAGGTGAAACCATGTCTGTTTAATCTGGTCCAGATGTTTGTTCAATTTCTATAAGATTTAAGTTGATGCAGTATCACCTCAGATTAGTTAATGGAAGTTTTATACAAATAGTTGAGTTATGAGCGCGCTATATAAATGGATCCTTTCTTTATATACAATACTATAGTAGATTAAAGTAATGAAGTTAATTAAGAAAATGTATACATAAGAATCCCTAAAATAAATCTAAACTAAAATTGGTATACCTTCCAATAATATGTTCTGAATACAGCTGTTAACTGTTTATTCTGTGTAAATGGTGATTGTGATAATGTGTGAAGTGTGCAGTTTAACTTGAAAGTGGTTTAATTTATATGTTGCTATGTTGCTGTATTGTTTTAAATTATATGTGAATCAGTTTGTCACAGTCTAGTGATACTGATAAGAATGACAGCCAAATAACCTAGCAAATAACTGTTTTATTAGTTGTTGAATACTAGCGTTTTGGCCAAGAAAAGTTGGAGATTTGGAGGTGTTAGTTTAAGATTGCTTTTATATTGTGTCTATCCGTGTTTCCTAGGAGGGAGACAGAGTGTGTAGTTGTGTGCCCATAAATGTGATTTCTGTATTGGCATATCTGCTGGGTACCCATTATGTGTTTCTACAAAGATATTGTTTTGTGAGATGATGTGTAATATTACATTGGATGCTGAGTATGAGTTATATGGTTTGAAATTAATTGGTGATTATGAGTTTAGTACTTCAGTAAGATGTGCTAAAATTTGGAACAAGGTGGAAGCTGAAATGTTGGGATTATGGAAGAATAAGCAGTCTATATTCACTGCTTTGGCATATAAGCAAGATGCAAAGGAAGAGATTGGTAATATGATTTTTGCAGGGCCGTCTTTAACAAGGGGCAAACAGGGCAGCTGCCCCGGGCCCAGTTGCTCCTGGGGGGCCCAAAGCAGCTGCCCTGTGGGCCCCCTGCCTGCAGCCAGGTCTGAACAGCCCACCGGTATACTGAGAAATATCCTGGTGGGCTGCAGCAGGTGATGTAATCAGGGCCCCCCGGCCCTTTAAGAGAGCTGCAGACCGGCCCCTGTCTTCCTGCCTGCTGGGAGGAAGTGTGGTGAGGTCACTTCCTCCCAATTAACAGAGTGCCGCTGGGGAGGAGGAGGAGGAGGAGGAGGAGGTACAGACCAAGAAGAAGAAGACTCCCATCAATCTCAGCCATCCAGCTCCCACTGGACCACAGGGAAGCCACACTTCTGTAAAGGTAAGGAGGGTGGCTAAACTATGTGAATTCATATGACTCTGTGTGTGTGTGTTTGTGTCAGTGTGTGTGTATATCTGGCTCTATGTGTGTATGTGTATCTGGCTGTATGTGTGTATCTGGCTGTATGTGTGTATCTGGCTGTATGTGTGTATCTGACTGTGTGTGTATCTGACTGTGTGTGTATCTGACTGTGTGTGTATCTGACTGTGTGTGTATCTGGCTGTGTGTGTATCTGGCTGTGTGTGTATCTGACTGTGTGTGTATCTGGCTGTATGTGTGTGTATCTGGCTGTATGTGTGTGTATCTGGCTGTATGTGTGTATGTGTATCTGGTTGTATGTGTGTATCTGGCTGTATGTATGTGTGTGTATCTGACTGTGTGTGTATCTGGCTGTATGTGTGTATGTGTATCTGGCTGGCTGTGTGTGTATCTGGCTGTATGTGTGTATGTGTATCTGGTTGTATGTGTGTATGTGTATCTGGTTGTATGTGTGTGTATCTGGCTGTATGTATGTGTGTGTATCTGACTGTGTGTGTGTGTGTATCTGACTGTGTGTGTATCTGACTGTGTGTGTATCTGGCTGTATGTGTGTGTATCTGACTGTGTGTGTGTGTATCTGACTGTGTGTGTGTGTGTGTGTGTATATCTCACTGTGTGTGTGTGTGTATCTGGCTGGCTGTGATTGTATCTGGCTGTGTTTCTGTCTGACTGTGTGTGTGTGTCTGTATCTGACTGTGTGTGTGTAAGTGTGTATCTGGCTGTGTGTGTCAGTGTGTATCTGGCTGTTTGTGTCAGTGTGTGTTTATATGGCTGTGTTTGTGTCAGTGTACATGTACCTTTGTGTCAGTGTTTATGTGTATCTGTGTGTATGTATACCTATGTGTCAGTTTGTATGTGTACCTGCTTGTCTGTGTATATGTACCTGTGTGTGTATGAGTGTCAGTATGTGTAAGTGTGTATCTGTGCGTGTGGCAATGCATACATCCCATCTAACATTGCACACAAATACAACCCTGCATTCCAACATTAACAATGCACACAAATACACCACTGCATGTGTATCTGTGTTCCTGTGTGTATCACTGTTTGTGTGAGAGTGCATCTGTGTGACAATGCATACATCCCAGCATTCCTACGCCAACACTGCACACAAATACATATGTATTTGTGTATATATCTGTGTCAGTGTGTGTAAGTGTGTATCTCTGTGTGTGGATGTGCCAGTGTTTTTATCTCTGTGTGTGCACGTGTATTTATGTATGTGGCTGTGTGTGTATACGCCAGTCTTTGTCAGTGTGTCCAGATGTGTGCATGTATCATAGTTACATAGCTGAAAAGAGACTTGCGTCCATCAAGTTCAGCCTATCAGTGTGCTAATGTGTATGTATATCTGTGAATGTTGACATTCATACATCACGGCAATCAAACACAACATGCAACCACACCCCTGCAAACATTACATACAAACACACCCCTGAATTCAAACTCAAAAAGTATATGGAAACACATCCCTACACTTAAACACCAATACTACACCCTACATGCACACACATACTGTATACAACAACATGCTCACATTCAAATGCACAAACACTGCTCACAAATACAGCCCTGCAAAAATGGACAAATGGTAGATCCCCAGCTGGCATAGCATCGTTGGAATTGTACAACAGATGAGGATCTATCTTTTCCCTGCTCTTGCACTAGAGGGATGGCAGGATCCAGGGGGCCCAAACAAATGCCTGCCCAGTGTCCAATCAATGTTAAAGACGGCCCTGGATTTTTGTAAAGAAATTTTACAAGTGTTGGAAGGATGAGGCAGGTTTGATGGCTGGAGATGATATAGATCTCTTTAAAATACAGTCATGCCTTGGTAATATGTTGCCACAGTATTCATTGCTTGTGAAACAATTGATTTCAGACTGGGCCAATTTGGATAGCTCAGAGTTTCTTACCAAGGTTATAGAAAAGGAAAATGCAGGTTGTTTTGACTTAAGAAAAGATTTAGGAAAGTAAGGTTGCTTATTATGCTTAACATTGTCCACCTACACAGGCTGAGAGCGTGGATGGGATGGAGCACATAAAGCCCGTGGAAGGGGTGGTCAAAGAGGGGCAAGGGGATGGAGACAGGGAAATCAGGGTTATAGGGGCAGGGGTAACCAAGGAGGAATAGACAGGAACACTTGTTTCAACTGTGGCCAATATGGCCACTGGAGGAATGAGTGTCCACACCCCAGGAAACCCCAGGAAACCCCACACACCCCCAACAACCCCACCTTTCTCAAAATATGCCCTGTAGGCAAGAACAACACCAGACCCACTCCCAACACCACTGGCCAGCATATCGCTTAGTTCAGGACTTTAGAGCCCTGAATAGTTTAATTGTGCCCATTTCACCCATTGTCCCTGATGTGACATCCCTCATTACAGCCATTCCACATGATGCCACTTGCTTCACTGTCATTGATTTAAGTAATGCATTTTTTTCTATACCTATTGATCAAGAGACACAGCTACTTATGGTTTTTACTTTTTGAAGGCTGTCAGTTTACCTGGACACGCTTACCCAAGGCTATGTGGATTCACCAGCTGTTTATTCGTTGGTACTCCAACATACTCTAAAAAACATGGACCACCGGTCATGGTTCTGTCCTTTTTGCAAAATGTTGATGATTTGTTGTTATGTAGCCCTAGCTATGAGGCAAGCACTGTGGATACTGTCAGCAGCTGTGGGTCACAAGCTTGTTAAACACAAAATGCAATTGTGTAAATCAAAGGTTGAATACTTAGGTTTTGTTCTGGCTTTAGGCACCAGACAATTGAGTCCAAAACGTATTGAGGTCATTCAGAGGATTCCTACACCCACTACTCGGAAGGAGTTGCTCACCTTCCTCGGCATGATTAATTACTGCCACCAATGTATCCCTGAATGCTCCCATTATGACTCAATCCTAAGGGAGGCTGTACGTTCTGACAGCCCTGAAAATGTCTGCTGGTCACCAGACATGCTAGCTGCATATATTGCCCTTACAGTTGTTATTGTGCAAGCCCAGGCTTTAGGACTACCTGTGTATTGTAAACCATTTCATTTGTATGCTTGGGACAATTGTAAAACCATGGCCGCGGTCTGTGCACAAGAGCAAGGAGGCGGTATGCGTCCCATAGCATTCTTTTCCAAAGTAGTTCGAGCTCCGGTACAGGGTATGCCGGCGTGTCTCAGAGCATTGATAGCATGTGCAATGGCTGTTGAAACTGCTACTACTATCACACTAGGGCATCCTACAATACTTCATGCCAGTCACCAGGTCACTCAGCTGATAAATCTCACCACACAACACATGACAGCCCAGCGCTTCAGTGGTTATGAGATTCTTTTTTTTTTTTAAATACCCACAATCTGTTTTTTGGATTAAACAAGGTTTAGAGAAAGATCAAAATGATCTGTTCTCTAAAGAGGGGAGAATAGGCATACTTGAAGAATAGGCATACTTGAAGCAAGCTGCTTTATTTTCATCAGTCAGGCACATAGCAAGCACCATTCAATTCTTCATGAATTCATTTTATATTAGGAATCTCAGGCAGCATGTACAGTCTTTTGTAAGATCGTGTGAACGCTGCTCTTTTTACACACTTACAGATTGATTTTATTCATGTATCCAAAATTGGTAAGAAACAGCAATACTTACTGGTCATAGTTGATCAGTTTAGTAGATGGCATGAGGCCTTTGTGACATCTAGGGAAGATGCTAGTGAAGATTATTGTTACTGAAATTATTCCCAGTTATGGCTGCCCTCTGCAGATTGGCTCTGATAATGGCCCGGTTTTTGCAAGTGGGGTTGCCCAGGAACTTGCTAAATTCTTGCAAGTTACCTGGCAGTTTCATATACCCTATCATCCACAGAATACAGGGGTAGTTGAAAGGATGAATAGGACTATTAAAGAAAAGCCCAGAATTTACCCAGGAACATGGGTAAATTGGACTAGATATCTACCAGCTATTTTAGCTGAGATAAGAATGAATCCCCACAAGGTGACTAAATTATCTCCATTTGATATTCTGATGGGATGACCTTTTCCCACACCCTGGGCCAGGGAACTGCTTGTTATAATGTCTGGGGATTTACAGCTAATACAAGAACAATATGTACAGGAATTGTTGATAAAACCGAATGGTATGTATGACAATGTTTCTTCGCAGTTTTCCCTTACCTTCACAGGAACCTACTCATTCATACCAGCCCGGTGACAAGGTGTATATCCGTCAGCTGAACAGGACCAAGAAAGGAGGATACCCTTTTGGACCACCTGATACTGTAATTGCTGTACCCAGAACCGCTGTCCACAGATTCCCATGACATCTGGATTCACGCATCCCAAGTGAAGCTGTGTCCAAAGAGGGGAACCAAGGAAGACAACACCACTCCTCGCTCCGAAACAGAAGAATTTCTCCTCAGCGAAGCATCATGGCTTTTACACCATATCGTAGATTGAGAGGATCATACGTACCTGAGACCAAGATTATGTTGTGCGCTATGCTTTCTGGAGTTGTTATGCTCCCTCTGATATTGTTCCTTGAATGCCATTATGAGTACAAGTCAATGGCAAGTTTGAAACCTGTTTGTTTCTGGAAAAAAGACTCTGACATGATGAACAATTCTTCAATACCCCCAGCCCAATTAGGCCTTAGCCCCTCATCTAGCATTCGTCACACATGCCCCCTCAAGAACCCTTTTCCACCACCTTTCTATCAGCATGTAATATGCAATCATTCATTCACTGAACGCATTTGGATGAATTGGACAAATAGTAACCCTTATAAGTACCAGTTACCCATATGAAATGTGTCCACAGCTAATGAAACCGATGCATTATGTTTGTTTAAAGGTTCACAGAAAATTGTTAGATCTTATAACGCAGAAATGTGCACAGTTAAGGTTGCATATCAATGTAAACAGACCGGTCTTATTACTTTTAATAATGATTATATAACTGGTATCATTAATCGGAGAAGGGGACAAATGTTAGTCATTATGAATGACACTACAATTGAGAACTATACACTACCTTATATTTTTACATCTTATTACTGTCCTTTATCCTCTACCATAGAACCAAAAGTCAACAACGACACACACACACACACCTATTCCATCCACATGTGTTAATACAACTGCCTTCTTACAAGCTGTACATGTGTCATTAAAAATCACTACTCCTGTTGTAACAATATGTAACAAAGCAAACAAAAGGCAGAAAAGGGAATGGTATGACACACTGTTAGATGGTGCTGGAACCACTATGGATATACTAAATAGTTATAGATATGGAGACCCTCAAGAATAAGTTAAATATGGCCAGCATGCATATAGGGACTGGTTTCCATGCTACTGCAAACTGGGCTCCAATTGTTGTTAAATCACAGGTTACAGGATTGGATTTAGATAAATAAATGTATAATTATTTAGATAATTTAACTGTTGCAACTACAGGTCTAAGTAACTGGAGTACTTGTGCCATCAGGTATTTATGGATACAACAACAAGGATTGGCATTAGAAAACACACTAATGATTCCTGAACTAGAGAAGATTAGAGGAAAGTGTAACCTCACAGATCATGAATGGTTACTTCTAAAACCCCAATCCATTAAATGCAATGGATGGTTAACTGGTAATGTTTCACATTTTTCATGCTCATGCTATTTTACATTATATCATACATCATCAAAGGATGTTAAATTAGCTTGTCAATTTAACACATTACCAGTACCAGTTTATGATCTTTTTGCCAAGAATTTAACCTGGTGGGCACCCACATACACAGGGGACTATATTTTTCCCAAAGATAACACACACAGGTAGCCACACATATCCTAAAAGGAGAACTCCTTAAGGTGAGTTCACAAATTTAGAATGATTTAGCCCATCATTGGTACAATGCTTTACTGGTTGGTCCCCTACTGGATCCCAGATAATGAAATCATTCTTCTATCCTTTTGTTATTATAGTCCTGATTTTATTGTGTATGATTTTATATAACTGCCACCTTACTTGTACATTGAGGAAGTGAGTACAGAAATTAATCCATAATGCAGAACAGAAACAATTAGAAATTCTCCTCTCTGCCACTGGAAGGTATCAACCCATCTTTAAACTGGGCCTTAGGAATTACCGCATGGGAATCGAGGTGAAGAAATTAATGAAAGTCCCGCAGGGAGTGACTAGCACCCCTGAAAATACCATGTGGAAGTTTCTCTGTCCTGGTAAGATTTTATCGATAAGATGAGCAATTTTTTTATTGCTCAAAGAGTGGAATGTAAGAATATGAAATAGTTAACGTGTTCATATGTATTTTATGCTTTTATAAGGTTTATAAATATTATTGCTGACTGAAAGGATATGAAATAGTTAAACTCAATGTACGACATAATATGCTGACTGTGACAGACTAAGGTATTTCTTCTATAGGATGTAAGACAATGCTAAATTTCAGGATGTCTTGCCCATTCCAATTTCAGGATATTTTTCCCCAGACGTATGCAAAAGCTTATCTTTCCATTGTCAGAATAACGTAATATAAGGAAGTAATAAATCTTATAGTCTGTACTGTATTTGCATATACCATGGCTAATGTAAGCAAACTATGTATAAAAGCCAGCTCTGGAATACACTCATTTGAGAGTCTTGTCAACTATCCTGTTGTCCGTGTCTTATTGCTGACAATGATTCTCCATCAACTTGATTATGGTGACCGAGGGATCGAGAACCGAGGGGATTAGAGTCCATTACAGCATTAACCCTTTCAGCCACATTGCATTGGAGGAGCCTGGTTGCCCACCTGCTGCCTTTGGATTATGGACCGGCAGCTAAAGGGTTAATTTTACTGTGCAGAAGGATTTATTTCTCCCTTTCTGCACAGCCGTTCGGTAGATTCCATCTACCAAACAAACCGTTTCTTTACAGCCTCCCCAGAGCCGTGGGAAGCCAGCCGGCGACCTTAATTGGCCACCCAGAAGCTGGAGTGCGCCCTCCATTTACCTCCCTGAAGCCGCGGTTAACCACGGCTTAATGAGCGTGTGCCGGCAATTGACCACCCAGTAGCTGCGGTTAACCGCAGCTTAATTGATTGTTACTGGGTGGTCGCAGTTACACTTAGCCGCCACATGATGGCGGTGTTCTGGAGCTCCCCGGCCAGCCAGCGCTTTTCTGCCCGGCTTTCCTGCACCAAACCCGGACACTTTTACGTGCAGGCACCGCTGAACCTCCAACCCCTGGTTCTAATTCGTACGGATTTAACGAATGCATGTAAATTCGGTATTTTATGTTGGAGGAATGTTTTAACCCAGATAGCCATGCCATGGAGCCTGTTCGTGGAATTAAAGACTTTGGCTCCATGGCAATTAAACTGTATTTGTGTGGTCTGAGTGCCATTCACCTAATAATGTGCACTCAGACCTGAGCTATCTGGGGATATGTTACATGTATATATTTACAGTACCATTTGTCCCATTATGTATTTTAAATTGATAGTCTGTCTTTGTGTCCCCACATGTGTAATGGAGTTTTGCCTTTGTCCTGGGAGATAATTGAATTACTTCTCCAGGGCAGAGGGGAGGAAGCCAGGATGCATTGTGGGGATGTTTTACTTCTGTATGTCTGTAATTGGTACATGTCTGTCTTTTGTTACAGTCTTCCATCTGGTCCCCTAGGGGAGTGTCCACCAGGTGGGAGACCTGCATAAATACTGGGCAGGTAGCCCTCATTAAACAGACCACTGCTTGACCCTCAACACGGAGCCTTGTCTCGTTCTTGGGGGGATTCACTGTATGCTGTTAGAGACTGATTGCCAGGAGTGTAAGCTGATTGTCTGCTTTTCCTGTTCGTCTGCTAGCAGCCATTTGGGAGGTTCCAGTTCGGGAGTTGGAGTGCTATTTTGTATCCAGTTCGGGAGGTTGGTGTTCTGCAGTAGCTGTGCCTGTATCTCTGGAAAGGGGGCCGATCGCCTAAACGTTTTTTCCCCCTTGTGTGCAAAACGGTCCGTTACACGGAGCATACGGCTTATTGTCATCCTATGTACAGATACTCCAGTCCAGTGGCGTACACATGTCCCATGGGGCCCCGGTGCAAAAATTGATCCATGGGCCCCACCCTCCAACCCCCCCCCCCGGGGCTGCAACACATGGCGGCGGGCACCTGGTCGCAGGGCTGCGACCCCGCAAATGTGGTATACTGCACACACACCCAGGGCCGGATTAACATAGGGGCTGGTGGAGCTGCAGCCCCAGGCCCATGGAATAGGCCCATTGATTTATAAAAAAAAAAAAAAAATTTTTTTTTTTCTTACATATCTTTTTTTTTTTCACACACTACTCTTAGGGATGCCACCTGGCTTTTATTTTATTGGCACAGCCAGTATTTGAGGCTGCCTGGCTGGTGCCAATATTGCAGTGATACTGGCAATACAAATGCTGGTATTTTTCTCAGTATAAACAAGAGATTACTCTGCAATACCAGCACTGGCCAGTAGGGGTCACTGTGTGTGGAGACAGGCAGGGATAGGAAGTTCCAGCATATCCCTCCCTGCCTATCTATACTCACTGATCTGCAGGGGTGCAGCTACAGAGAGTCCAGACAGCAACTCCCACCCTGCAGAGACAGCCTACAGCTCAGGGAAGTAAGGGATGGGGAAAGGCTGCAAGGAGACATACACTGAGACACTAAAGGGGCACTGGGAGACATTATGGCAGACACTGAGACACTAAGGGACATTGGGAGACATTATGGCAGACACTGAGACACTAAGGGACATTGGGAAACATTATGGCAGACACTGAGACACTAAGGGACACTGGGAGACATTATGGCAGACACTGAGACACTAAGGGACACTGGGAGACATTATGGCAGACACAGAGACACTAAGGGACATTGGGAGACATTATGGCAGACACTGAGACACTAAGGGACATTGGGAGACATTATGGCAGACACTGAGACACTAAGGGACACTGGGAGACATTATGGCAGACACAGAGACACTAAGGGACATTGGGAGACATTATGGCAGACACTGAGACACTAAGGGACATTGGGAGACATTATGACACAGACACATGGGGACACAGTTTCCCCATGTCTCCCAGCCAGTGTCCCTGGTGTCTCAGTGCCCCCTAGTCTCCCAGTGCCCCCAGTCTGCTGTGTCTCACTGTCCCCATGTCTCCTAGTGCCTCCTTGTCTCCCAGTGCCTCAAGTGTCTCAATGTCCCCATGTCTCCAAGCTAGTGTCCCTAGTGTCTGTGGCCCTGGTGTCTCCTTGTCCCCATGTCTCCCAGTGCCCCGATGTCTCAATGTCCCCATGTCCCCCAGTCAGTGTCTCTAGTGTCTGTGTCCCTGGTGTCTATGTCCCTATGTCTTCAAGTGTCCCCTATTTTCCCAGTGTCCCCATGCGTCCCAGCCACAGTCCCCTAGTCTCCCAGTGTCACTGGTGTCTCCGTGTTCCTAGGTCTCCCTGTGTCCCCAGGTCTTCCCGTCTTCCTAGTGACATGGGGACCCTGGAATACATGGGAACACAGGGAGACATGGGGCATTGAAACACTGTGATACATAGGATCACTGGGAGACCTGGAGACACGACACTAGGGGACACTGGGAGACATGGGGCACTGAGACACTGATACATAGGAACACTGAGACCTGGAGTAATCGACAAATGGGGGCACCGGGAGACATAGGGCCACTGGGAGGAATCCATCTATACAGCAGAATCAAACTAAGTAGTTTTTTTGGTGATTTTACAGCATTTTCTCTTATGTCACTCCTTGTGATTTACATCATGTGATGTCACCCATACATATTTAATTATGCAAATTAGCAAGGCCGGTATGTTTTTCCAAGAAAGGTGGCAACCCTAACTACTTTTCACATACTCTTACTTAAGTATGGAAACTTAAGAGGGATGTATGGGAACAAAACTTGTGTGGACTGGCTGACAATGAATATAGTTAAAGGGTTACTAGAGTCACCAGAAGAACTACAGCTTATTGAATTTGTTCTGGTGAGTAGAATCATTACCGTCAGGCTTTTTGCTGTAAACACTGACTTTTCAGAGAAAATGCAGTATTTACATTACAGCCTAGTGATAACTTCACTGGCCACTCCTTAGATGGCTGTTAGAGATCCTTCCTGGGTCATGGCTGCCTAAAATGCATCCAAACATTCAGTGTCTCCTCCCTCTGCATGCAGACACTGAACTTTCCTCATAGAGATTCATTGATTCAATTCATCTCTATGAGGAGATGCTGATTGGCCAGGGCTGTGTTTGAATCATGCTGGCTCTGCCCCTGATCTGCCTCTTTGTCAGTCTCAGCCAATCCTATGGGGTAGCACTGTGATTGGATTAGGCCATCACTTCTAATGATGTCAGCAGACTGCTTGTTTTTGCAGAGTTACAGCTTCAGGCTTGAATACAGTAAGACTTTGCTATATTTATGGAGGCATGAGGGGCTCAGGGGGGCTAGATGGTGGTGTTAACACTATAGGGTCATGAATTCATGTTTGTGTTCCTGACCCTATAGTGATCCTTTAAGGTAATGCTGACTTTGGTCTCTCTAACACTGTGGCATGTTCCCTTTCTTCTACACTCACTACATACAGTTTTTTTCTGTCCAAGACTATATACCAGGAGCTTCTGCCTGCTAGTAAGAAGGTAAGGAGACAAGTGGACCAGCGAGTGCTAGGGGACAGTCCTTAGAAAGCGTTGAGCGAGCGCATCATTAGATGCATTTATGCCAAGCTCAGGGTGGTTTCTGTATAGTATGCCCTTTGTTGGCCAGCTGCATGATTGGCAGGCAGCCTGACATGCATTC